AGCTTTCCTGCTCTTCTGATGCTGCTTGGCCTGCTGTGTTCATCCAGCTCTACACCTTGTTATCTCAGTGAAATCAATCCTAGATAGAGCTGCTACTCCACAATTTAATATTCCTATTTCAAAACCAGTGATCTTAATCATGGGAAAATGACATTTCTGAATGTGTTCAAACAAATTTCACTAATTAGCTTTTTGAATGAAAACCTTTATCTCATCAGTATGGGTTAAATTCAAGCTCATACTGCAGAAGTGAAAGGGTAGTACTAGCCATTGCACCACTTAGTCAGACTTCTTCTCGGAGAACAAAGTTTCCAATTCGTCTTCCGCCCCCACACAAGTACAATTTGTCCATTCCCATTTGAAACTTTTCCCCATCAACTTACTGATGCACTGACATATACAACAGAAACTGATTTCATTTCCACAGCTGAATCATATCTAAATATGAAATTTATGGGTGACCTACATTACATCGGTCCTAGTGTTAAACAATGCAGTCAATCTTAACCAAGAGTTCAGTTTCAAACCTCTAACTCAACCTTGTGGCCAACTTTATTCTGGTTAATTTATTTAACAATTCTTTCGTGAAACACCAAGCACTTCCACTGGAATCCAAAAGCATACGGTTTGATTAAAAACAATCCTACAGAACAGCTACACAATTGAAACGATACCAATTCTGAGAAAACTTAAGAACAAGTAGGTTAGAAAGGAAACTACCTTAAGTTCATGCAACTAACACCACCATTGCCCTCCCCTACCTATTGTGTTAGGATTACCATATTAATAAAGTAGTTCTCACATGTACACGATTAAGTGCCATATAAAACAGAAGACCTGAGTAGAGATAGTAGGAACTGCAGATGCTGGAGAATCCAAGACAACAAGGTGCAGGGCTGGATGAACACAGCAGGCCAAGCAGCTCTGCTCCTATGATGCTGCTTGGCCTGCTGTGTTCATCCAGACCTGAGTAGAGATTTGATTTAATTAATTATAGCCGTTCCAGACAGGACTTGAACATGAAACCTACCTTTCTGATCGTAAATAAAGACAAGTATAGGCTGATTTGGTCCAAAGGCACAAAAAGCCACCATGTGCTCATGAGGATGAAAGGCTACATCTCGGACAGCTGACGTATAATTAAGATCAGAATACATTGCCACTTGGTCTCCTAACAAAACGAAGGAAAAGAAAAAAAAGACTGGAATCATGATTGTTACTAATACTGATTGCAAGAAACAATATTCTCAACCATGATAAATCTAAAAAACATGCAACTAATAACTGAGACCCAAATGTGATTAAATTAATCAAAGAGGGCTGGAGGAGCATTGTTGTAATTAAGGTTGGAGAGAGTGCACTGTTGTGCTCTAGTCCACGCCACTTGTCACAACATAATTTTAAATGCTTTATCCAGTTACTGGTACAGCCAATTATATATTGTATCGATTTGTGGTTTAGAATTAAAAAAGGGATCAACCATATTTCTTCAATAAGCAACAAAATTATTGTGAAAACAGGACTTAAATCAGCCAAGATGTAAACTCGTCCCTGCCTCCCTAACCTGTTCTTCCTCCCACCTATCCCCTCCTCCCACCTCAAGCCGCACCTCCATCTCCTACCGACCAACCTCATCCCGCCCCCTTGACCTGTCCGTCCTCCCTGGACTGACCTATCCCCTTCCTAACTCCCTACCTACACTCACCTTTACTGGCTCCATCCCCACCTCTTCGACCTGTTTGTTTCCTCTCCACCTATCCTCTCCTCTATCCCTCTTCTATCCGCCTCCCACTCTCTCCCTATTTATTTCAAAATCCCCTTCCCTTCCCCCTTTTCTGATGAAGGGTCTAGGCCCGAAACGTCAGCCTCTCTGCTCCTATGATGCTGCTTGGCCTCCTGTGTTCATCCAGCCCTGCACCTTGTTGTCTCCAATGTTCAAAATGACTTTCATTCGGCATCCTAGTACAAGTAGACATGGGTCAATAATCACAAGCAGTTGTCACTGGGACCTTTGTGGACACAGTTCATTCAGGAAATGTTGAGAGGAAATCTTTGAGGCTTTTCAGGAGAAGAGCTGACTTAATGTTTCATTTATTGAACAGGACCCTCAAAATGGTTTCCTCAGAACAGTGAAAGGTGAGCTGGGTAGCTTCGCTTGCTTAGCAGGCTATACCCCCAACTGAACTCTGAATAATATCCAGAACAAAATCTATCTCCTGACAGCTATAAACCCAGACGTAAGTTCAAGCAATTAAGTTAAGCATGTGACTTCCAAGAAATATCCCTTCAGTGAACTGCTTTTAAAAAAAAGTCCAGTTATCTCCACAGTCTTTTAAAATGAACTACTGTCTATAATCCTTTGAACACAATCCCTCAAAAAAATGAAGCATCTTCATAACAGAAAAATGAGGCAAATTAAATTTTAAATGCAATATTGTTTCTGAAAAATAGTATTAAAGTGACCAGATTTAAAATTTAACAGTCAGCCATGCCGTACAGTTCTGGAGACAATACGACATTAGGGTACAGTGGTCATGTTAATGAACTAATACTCAAGTGAATTAGACTAATGATCCTGTGGCTATTGTAAAATTCCCTGATAGCAGCTGGCAAATATATAACTTCAACTAATTAAAATGCGGAAGAAATGGCAGCATCAACATTACTGTCCAGACTGTCATAAAAACTCACCTGGTTCACTTTACAGAAGGACATTTGCCATCCTTTCCATGAAAATGGCTGAACATTTGGCTGAACAATGGCTTACTGCCATTTTTTCAAGAGGAGTAAGGTATCTGGAATAATTGTAACCCTAACTAGCAACACTGGCATCCTGCGAATGAGCAAAACATACAGGTTTGGACAATAGGTTTCTTTCCTTTCAGGGCATACGCAGCCAGGTTTAAAATGCAATTTCAGGAATAAAGGGTTGTTTTCAGTCAAATCACAACAAAGCAGGGAAGCAGTGGTACAGTGATAATGTCACAGACTAGTAAACCAGTAGCCCAGGGCTAATGCCCTGGGTACATGGATTCAAATCCAACAACAACAGCTGGTGGAATATAAAGCTCGAGTCAGTGGTGGTGACCACGTCAATTCCCACTGACTGTTTAATAACCCTACCTGCTTCATTAAAGTCCTCTATATGACTCCAGACCCTCAGAAACGTGGTTGACGTTTTACAGCACACAACAACTTTAAGCAAGTTGCTCAGTTCAAGGATACCTAGGGATGGGCAAGAAATGTTGATCTTGCTGCATCTCATGGAAGAATTCTTAAAAATAGCCATTGAATTATTATTTTAAAAAATACTAGTACTACTACCCTTAAGGAAAGAAACCTACTGTTCTTATGTTGCTTTAATATGGTTTGGCCTCCACAACCGCACTAACATAGCTGAACTCAATGCTCTCTGAAGTGACTCTGCAGGCCATTCAGTTGAATTGGTCTACTGAAAAATTAAAAAATAAAAAAATTGGATGGACCACTTAGCCACAACACAAGAATCAAATTAAGGCACAACAAGGTCACACCCAGCCCAGTAAATCCCTGGGGACTGCTGCTCAAGTTAGGAAAGTTTTCTCACAGACCAGTCAACCAATACTGCAAAAGAAGGTTGGGCACAGTCAAATGGAAATTTCACTGTTTCAAGTCAAACATACGCATGGCATCTAATGCTGATCACTCTTTGTCTTAATCTGGTTGAAGACCACTTCTGGGAAGCAAACACAAGGTAACAAAACATCTCTCAAAGTGATGGAAAAGGTTATTTAGAATTTACAGTATAGGAACAGGCCACTTTGACACTACAAGCCACTGATAGTACTGTCAAATCCCACGCACACACTAATAGAAAATGCGAAGAACTCGGATTGAAAACTGGAACGGCCAATTACATCAAGTTTCTGCTCTGGTTTATAAATTTCAGTCTGTCTATTGTGAAGTGAACTAAAGTCCAGGTGTGGGATCTTCCCAAGTCATGACGTTTCAGCTTTGGCCTTGGATGATCAGTGCAGTTGTGACAAACACAACTTAAGTCCAGAAAGATACATCTGCTCCATAAGGAGATAAAACAGATCCATCAGGGGAATACCGGTCTGGCAAATTCATTCCTTAAGCATTACTCTCATAGCCTCTTAAACATTCAACTGGTAATATAGGATGGGTGATCCAGGGCTTCTAGGAAAGGGAGCTTGCAGGCCAAAGGGGATTAGATGGTGTCTACCATCACAGCTAGTGGGATAGTCTGCCCCTCTGATATCTACCCACCTTTTCCTTCTCTTGCACACCCAAGTGACTTGTGCTTACTTCACTTTGCCAGCCTTTTCATGTTG